GAAAGAAAGAAAGAAAGAAAGAAAGAAAGAAAGAAAGAAAGAAAGAAAGAAAGAAAGAAAGAAAGAAAGAAAGAAAGAAAGAAAGAAAGATGTTTTGTGTAGGTGTAAATAGTTGTTACGCAATTTCTTTTCAACAAATAAAAGCCTAACATTACTTTTAGGAAAAGCTCATCACCATCTCCTTTTTATGCCAAAGTTTGACACTATTTTGGTCAAATCATGAACATAATGTTATGTACCATTACGTGCAACATTGCAAGACCTTATTGCCACTCTTAGCTGCTATTAACCCTGATTTTTGCTCAACGTCTGTGAAACAAACAAAAAGTATTTTCTGTAGCCATTTTTGTGTTTGCTAAGATGAATTAGTTGTGGTGGACATCTTGAATTGTATCGATGCCAAAACCTGATCAGCTGTAGACGTAAATCTAATGAATTTCTGATAAAAATGCATTCATCAAATATTTTGTTAATAACAAACAAGCACATCCACATCCTGTATTATAATAAAATCAAATTGTATATTTGAAGTTAATTTACTGCATGAAGGAAAAATATTGTATTTAACCAAAATATTTCTGCCTCCCACAGAATAGCAACATGACATGTATAATATATTCCATATAAACAGCAAATGTTTAACTTAGAAGTAGAAACCACTGTTGTTCAATAGTTTTTAACCCAGTTTGACTGAGTGTATTTCTCTCTAATCTGATGGCAGTTTAAGCCCTTTTATTTTCATCATACACAAAATAATGTATCTCTTAAAACTTATTATTCAGGAAATGATGATTTTTAGTTGGCTGTCGCAGGAAATACATGACATAAATCAATCAAACAATTGATCGAGGATTTGAGTTCAAATTTCATCCATTTTGTGAATAGTTTCAGTCTTGGAATAATATTTCAGCTCTGATGTGACTCACTGTCAACGGCTAAAACAAAACCAAAATTTATATAAAGACACAGCAGAGAATAACATAGAATTCATCCTATCAGATCACCCATTTTAATAATAATAGTTACATAAATACTTTGTTGAGGTTGGTTTTGTGTCGATACCTTGTAGATTCTGGATCTGGCGCGTGAAGGCCTCGGCTTGATGTGCGCTGGACAGACGCTCGTCCTCCAGCAGACCTGCAAACGTGGGACGAAGAAAGACAAAGAAAGATGTGGAGGGTAAAATCTCATTGTTGAACTGTTGAAACTTGAAGTATGATAGATTGAATTAAAGAGGCAATATCATATAAAATCAACTTTTTTGAGTTTAATATCCTGTTATAATGTTAAACTCTCATAAAAAACACACCCATAGCCTTGCTTTGACTCATTCATGCATGTTTGAGAAATCCTGCAGCGTTTTAAGGCAGCCATGCTGAGGAGCAAAACGACAGGTGGGGACCAGGAACGTCTTTTGGGACCAGAAACGCCCCTGGGACGTATCTTTAAGCTGAACTTCCTCATCACGGAGCACACCTCCCCACCCCCCACACCCCACCCATGACTCCTGCAGGCTCTCGGCAGTAACAGAGCAAACGAGTGAAACTGAAACTGTCTGCTGAGCTCGTTCTCACTCAGTGAAGCTCTTTTCAGATTCAAGATACCTTTGAGGAAATGTATTTTCAGATGCCAAGTAAACTGCATCATTGCACACACATACACCCCCGAATCCCACCTCCCACGATGAAATGGGCAGGACAGAAGCGGAAGGTGGTTCTTAAAGAGACAGAGGCCAATTTCAAGGCGTTTAGAAGAGGAAGTGATGAGAAAGAAGATCTAAAGGTGACATAGATACTTTATTATGGTATAGTATTTAAATATATGCCTGAGAAACACATAATATTGCCCCTTTAATAACTATAGTTCTTTAAAAAAAACTTTGGTATATTTGTGGTAATTGCAAAGAACAATGTAAATTATAATATACTTGCAAATAAGACAGTTTCATTTTAACTGATGGATCATAAGACCTCCTTTTTCAGGCTTCTGTTTAGGGTCATGGAGCCACATCAGTTGTAAGACTCTGGAGCCTCCAAGAGGCTGATTGGCTTGTGGTCTGAATCTGATCTGATTTGTTTGTTTTGGGCCACAACCCCTGCAGATCCACTGAGCTCTGCTGGACCTGCGACCTTTCTTCATTTCTTATTTTTCTTTATTTCTATTTTAATAAACCGCCACAAAAGACATTTGCCTTGTTTGGCTTCTGAGTCCAGCATTATACCATACCATACCATACCATACCATACCATACCATACCATACCATCTTTATTTATAGAGCACTTTAAACACCCACAGGACCAAAGTGCTGTTCACATAATAAAACATGCATACATTCATAAAACCAATAAAAATCAATAAAAATTACAATAAAACAATAAAAACAACACTACAAATTGTTCTCAAAGGCCAGAGAGAAAAGATGAGTTTTAAGAAGAGATTTAAAAACAGACAGGGACCATGCCTGTCTGATGTCCAGCGGAAGGCCGTTCCAAAATTTAGGAGCTGCCACAGAGAAAGCACGGTCACCTCTAAGCTTACGCTTTGTCTTGGGCACAGTCAGGAGCAGCTGATCAGCTGACCTGAGGGATCGAGAGGGCCTATAGGGTTGTAGAAGATCTGACAGATAAGGCGGAGCAAGACCATTAAGAGCTTTAAAAGCAAATAACAAAACTTTAAAACGAATCCTGAAATGTACAGGCAGCCAGTGAAGGGAGGCTAAAACAGGAGAAACGTGATCAAACTTTCGTGTACCAGTTAAAAGATGTGCAGCGGCATTTTGTACCCTCTGTAGCTGTGAGATACAGGACTCACTGATGCCAGTATCAAGTGTGTTACAGTAGTCCAGCCGAGTGGTAACAAAAGCGTGGACTACTGTCTCAAAGTGTTTCATGGAAAGAATTGGCTTTATTTTAGCGAGCTGCCTCAGATGGTAAAAACCAGATTTTACTACTGTTCTGATGTGGTTCTAACTTAAGTCCAGCATCAACTTTTATGCCTAGATTACTAATCAAAGGCTTGATGTACTGGAACAGTGAACCAACATCCATTATTATTATTATTTCAGAAATCCCACCATCAAATTTGTTTTAAGAAGATTTCTCAGTCTTTTACTTCCTTGGTTTCCAGATTAAAGCTCTTCTTTCTTTTTCTTTTGGCTGCCATTTACACAGCTTATACTTTGCTGCTATTCTTAGGTTTTTTATTTGTTGTTTGGCCTTTATTAGTATGCGTTATGCCAACTAATTTCTTCAGGCAGATTCACTGGTGGCTTCACCGCAACAACTGTTAGCTGAGGACAGAAAATACAGAAATCAGACGTATGAGTCTGTCATTTCTCCAAGGATTAGTTAAACTAAAAAAAGATTAAAATGTTATTTGTGGTTCATAATAAAGACAAATTAATCATCAGTGCCTGAACATTTTTATAGTTTTTGACGGTATCGTGTTAGGTCGAGGTTATAGGTTTTTTGTTTTGTTTTTGCGCCATCTCAACACCATTTTTAGAACATGTCTAAACCTTTTTAGTTATCCACAGAGTCCAATATTATTCAGTTTGGCCTTTTTATTTTAAACTAAGCTGCTTCTTCATGTTAAAATATATAAAATATGCATCTGCTTTAAAGCTGCTCCAAACCTCTACTTTGGCAACAAATTGAAATCGCTTCAGACTCTTTGATCTTAGGTTCATGTTGAGATTAGGGTTCTGCTCTGTGAATATTTTTTTTTCTTCTGACAGATCTTTACAGTTACGTCGAAGACGAGAGCTGTTGTCATGGAAAACAGGATCTGATGACGCGGCCGCACAGCTAATCCCAGGTTTGTACCGTGCTCTCGCTGCTACAACTGTCTGCATGTTTTCTGGCTTCAGCCTGCTCTGCTAACAAACACTGGTGCTGTGGTTTTGATTGTGACTGTTCACTCAAAGTGAATAGATGTATTTCTTGTGGGTTTTTCCACCACTAAACACAGAGAAGGCCTGATTATGTTTACGCAACAGTAAACACAAAATATGCCGGGTGGATTATACAGCGTCACCTACTAACGTAGTGTTCTCTTTCATAGCATTCGTTTTGTGTCTTACATTGGGAACGCCTTCGGTGTGATCTCATCAGAAGCTCATATTATATTGCGCCAGCCAATTGGCTGGAAATCAGCCTGTCAGTGACAAGGAGGGCCACAACCCTCCCCCATATATAGGGCTGTTCCTACACTGGCAGGTTATTCAAAAATCTCTTCTCGCAACGAGCAGAAGTTCCACCAGCTCGCTCCAGGTACTGCCTCTTCTCAGAGCCTAGCTAAACTGTCCATTGACTCGTGCACAAGAGCGGTCGCTGGGCGCTTTGCTCTGGGTTAGCACAGCACCGCACAGAGTGTCTGGTTATCGGTAGCAATACCGTCAAAAAAAAGTAGCAATACTTATAAGTAGCAATACTTAAAGAAATAAAATTTTAAAAAGTAGCAATACTTTTAACTGTTTGAGCTATCCCAACGGGAAGTCACAATGCTCTCCCAAGCCTAGACTTACCTGGTTAGCCTAGCTGTCACCAGCTAACATAGATTCAGTCATCTCCCTGGAACATGGAGGTCGCGGGGGCTTCAGCAAAACCATTGGAGGGCCCACAGCCACGGGACTGCCCGTGTGGCAATAAAATATCAAGCTGGGACACCCACCAAACCTGTGTGGTGTGCCTCGGCTTGAAACGCCCAAGCATCCCTTGAGTCGGCGGAGGAGTGTGCGCACTGCAGTCGGTTCTCCCTCAAGGTGCTCCGTCGCCGTCTGGCCCGTCAGTTGACACTGTCCAGCAGGGACTCAGTGATGGCTTCAACACCTCCCTAACAGGACCCAGCTGACTTGGTGGTTTCCCAGGTCTCTGAACCAGAAGCTGGAACAAGTTGGGGCGACTTGCTTGAAAGTGCAGGCCCGCTTCCATCCGCAACAATGGAGCAGGCTCTCACTTCGAGCTCGCTGGATTACTTGGCAGGAGGCGAGCTCTCCGATGGCTCGGAGCTCCCTTTCTCAGACGACGAGGAGGATTATGATCCGTCTGCCCAGCAGTCAGGACGGGTTGCAAAATCTGCTCTTTCTGATGTGGGCCGACCCAGTCATGAAGACTCATCATTGTCAGAGCTGGATTTAGACCTGCATGACGTGTGTAAATGCGCCGTTGCAAAGCTCGACATCCAGTGGCCTGAGGTCCAAGCTGAGGCGGTCTGTTCACGTTTCGATGGAAAGAAGCTGCCAAAAGCAAAGAAAACAGGCAAACAGCTCCTGCCGTTTTCCCCTGAGCTGCTGGAAGAATTGTCCATCTCCTGGCGCAGCAAGCCTTTCAAGGAGAAGCACCCAGTGGCAGGCAGTTCTGTGCTGGACTGTGTGGACATGGAAAAATGCGGTCTCCGCCAAATGCCTTCAGTCGAGCCTGCGGTTGCGACGCACCTGCACCCAAAGACTTCCACGTCGGCAGGTGGCCCCGCTCTCCCCTCCAGAGCAGACCGTTTTCAGTCCAGCCTGACGGAAAAGTCTTATAAAGTGGCTGTGCTCTCAATCCGGGCTCTGAATGCTTCCTCCAGGCTCATGGCGTATCAGGCGGAGCTAGAGGAGCAGATGACCGCCTCATCAGATGCTGCTCTGTGGGACAAAGTCTGCATCATCACGGATCACTGTCTCCAGCTGCACAAAGTGGCGATCCAGGCTATGGGCAGAACCAAGGGGCTGATGGTTCTGCAAGAGCGGGCCAGGTGGTTGAATCTCACCACTCTCTCCACAAAAAAGAAGGAGGACCTCCTCGACACTCCCATCTTTCCGCAGGGTCTGTTCGGCTCCACGGTCACCTCGATGCAAAAGAGGTGGGAGGAAAAGAAAAGGCTCTACTACGACTAGGCTCTGAAGCTATGTCTCCCCAGGCGTCCATTTGCCTCCACCACCGCAGCTCCACCACCTCAGCATCAAACCTTCACTCAGGCCGCGGCACRCTTGCCCCCCACCTTTAGGATCCCAAAACTGCCAAAGGTCCAGGGAGCCCCACAAGTGCCGCAAAAACCCTCCAAAGTCTCGTGGCAGAGGAAGCCCGAGGGCCCCCGCCCCAACCAACCACCGCCACCCACCTCCACAACAGATGCCTCCCTGACAGGATGGGGA